TCCTTCCTTCCTTCCTTCCTTCCTTCCTTCCTTCCTTCCTTCCTTCCTTCCTTCCCCCTACTGACTTTCCAGCTCTTTATTCTTATAATTTCAATATTACTTCCTTGAATCTCGAATTTTGAGTTTCATAGATTATTGTTTCCACTGATGGTGTCTGAAAGAAATCACTCATGTATGCTTAATTTTACTAACACATCTAGTAAGAATCTAGTAAAAAAAACCCTAGTAAAATATAACATACCTTTATTGATGTAGTCATGACTTATTTATAGTAGGAAATATTTCACCCAGAATTTCAAGTACAAACATTCAATTTCTTCTAATATTATTCAGTCCCAGAATTAGTTTTATCACATTGGTTTTCCTAGTTCAAACTAAAAATCAGTTGTGAATGCAACAGTGGTTTATTCATGTAATGCACAACAGTGCTTGGTTAAAAAAAAAGCACAATAAGCAAACTTCACCCATTCTGGATATTTGAAAGTTGGGAATCATCATGTTGTCTTTAATGACTAATTATGCTCACATTTCTTTAGCGGAAAAAGAGCAAATTTCATAATATTTGAAAATATAAGTACAGGCAGGTATCTTTTAGAAATAAAGTTCCCTTTATATATTATGTTCCAGTTTCCTTGGGATCATGTTGAATACTTTTGCTATTACCTGCAGATTCTGTACTCAGGAGAAATTTATTAGAGAGGGAGCAATTAACAATAACTAAGCATAATTAGTGACCTGTTTGCACAAAACAATATACTTTATTCTTGAACTGCTAAGGACCAGATGATTTTTATTATGTCCTGATACGTAAAACCATATAACTCAAAGAGGGTGTACTTTCTTTCTCACAAGACTGTATGTAGTCACTGAATAGGGCACAATGGAATTTATTTAGCCCTAGCACACTCTCTGAAGGTAAACAATCTTTCTTCGTACCAGCCATAGTCACCAGTCTTTAAAAACAAAAATAAAAACACTCTTTGCTCTCCAATAATGTTCATCACTAATTCTATTTTATTTTCCTAAACAGTGTGTTTAGACTGTTCTTCACATTCTGTAAATTCAAACCTTAGTTATACTATTACACTTTTTTTTTTTTTTTTGTATTTATGCTGAGGAGAGATAAAAGATTTGTTGAAGGAAATCTCCTACGTTCAGTCTCCTTATAACACAAATAATTGTCAGCCCAAATTAATCCACTGCCTCTTCTTTGAAAGGTGTGGACTAAAATGTACCCACTGGTCCATCACAGGTTGGTAGATAGATATATTCAAATTTTCCACTAAAGGGTTGAGAGAAAGCAATTGGCCCAAATTGTCAAGATATCTTTGGTACCCAAGGGAGGACTAGGAAGTGGGTAATCTCATTCCGAGTCAGGCATCTCATGTGTGAGAATATTTGGATACACACACACACACACAGATAGAGACACAGACTTAAGAAAAACAAAATGCAAACATTAATTACCTGTTTTAATAATAAGAAAGCAAGATAATTCTGAATCTATTCCAAAGTATTTTAAATTTAAATCAACTTAGCATATTGAACACTTAATAACTAGTTGATAACTGTTTTCTGCACACAAACACACAAATATTTATCTTTTCAAATGGAAATATGTTTCCTTACAAAGGCCTTTATAAATCTTGACACTTGCTGAAAATGAAAAATGAAACTTATCAGATTATGATAGCACAAGAAGAAATCCTATCTGTAGAATGGCATGAAAATGACACATTCAACTGTTTTAATATCTGGTTTTTCTATAAATTTGAAAAAAGAGGAAGGAAATAAATCTTTTGAAGGCGTCCTTCACTTCTTTATTTCTCAGAGTATATATAATAGGATTAAGCATGGGGGTTAGGATGGTGTAGATCACAGAAAGCACTTTATGAAGACTGCTCACTTTTATGGTGTTTGGTATTGCGTAGATACTCATCAGTGTCCCATAAAAAATAGTCACTACCAGGAGATGAGAAGAACAGGTGGAAAATGCCTTTTGTTTCCCCATAGTGGAAGGCATTCGCATTATGGCTACAATGATGAAACTGTAAGAAGTGAGGGTTAATATAGATGGCGGAAAAGTAAATATTGAACTTATAACATAAAGAAAGAGTTTTAAAGCATAAGTGTCCCCACAAAATAATTCTATAATTGGGAAGGTATCACAAAAGAAATGATCGATTTTATTACCACACAAAACTGATTGGGACATAAACATTTGTGTTATGGCAGTTGCCAGAAAACCACTAATCCAAGAGAAGGTGATCAGTCTGAAACACCTTCTGCCATTCATCATGGTGACATAATGGAGTGGTTTGCATATCGCTAAATAGCGATCAAAAGACATTGCAGAAAGCAGGTAACATTCCACAGCTCCCAAAGAACCAAACAAATAATGTTGTGCAGCACAAGCCCTGAGTGAAATCATATTGCTTCCAGTAAGAAAGCTGGATATTATTCGTGGTAAGATGTTTGAGCTGCAGCAGCTCTCCAAGCATGAAAGGCTCCCAAGGAAAAGATACATGGGAGTGTGGAGGTGTTGATCAAGGACAACCAGTAGAATAATGAGTAGGTTTCCAGCCATGGTCCCCATGTAGATGAGGAGGAACAGTAGGAAGAGAGGAATCTGTAAGATCTGATGGTTTCCAAATCCAAGCAGAATGAATTCATTGATAAATGTCTGATTATTTAATTCTGTAGTTTCAAATAACTGCCCCTGGGAAAAATAATGTGGAAAATCATAATGATATTTTTCTCTCTGATTTCAAAATATGTGATAATGAAAGAAAAATATAAACCTTCAGAAGCCTTATTTCTCTTTCCTCAAATGTTCTATTTCTGTGATTGAAACATTCTTAAAATGTTGCCAATTCTCTCTATATCCCTCCCTCCCTCCTTCCCTCTTTCTCTTTTGCTTTTATGAATTGATAAGAAGTGTGTTTGCATTAAGCCCACTGCATATGGTGCAGAAAAAAAGCTATATTGATTCTAAATAAGATATCTAAGAAATTTCTTTCTTAGACATCCAGGAAATCTATCTATCTATCTATCTATCTATCTATCTATCTATCTATCTATCTATCTATCTATCTATCTATCTATC